GTTGTATAAATATTCACATGAGCAAGGAGTATGTGAATAATCAGCAGAGCTAGTCTGATGGAGTTGTTATTCTCTTAAAATATTGCAGTGGTGCTCCCCTGTCATTTGGGAAAATGCTTTATATGCTCTGAGTAAAGGTATTAATACATCTTAACAAAATGGAGACTCGTTTAATATAAGGAAAAAGGCACCAGATGAGGTCGCCTGAGACGGTTTCTGATGCTGTAGAGCTATTATTATATTACTATTTGTTAGAAATCTTGAGTCTCACACCAGTCACCATCGTGCCAGTTCAGTCACTTAGTAACGCAGGACAGAGAGCCCAGTCCAGATCAGTCTTGCCATGCGACACACATCCGACGGTGTTCTCACACACACTGAAGAGTTAGGACTTCCCCTTATAAGAGCAATAGCAAGAAATGCCTCCATTTTATTTCATTTGGTATTGGTGAGCAGATTTTTCATAGCTTAAAGGAACCATTTCAGTTTCGTTTAGTTTGAAATACTACACTCTTGTGCAATATTCTCATTCGGTTGTTGATGTTGACTTATTTTGTGTGATGCTCTGGTAGAATAGAAATGAAATAATAGTCATTTTTTAAAAACAGTAATTTGTGCCTTCCACTAAAGCAGCCATTTAGATTACTTAGTAGGTCCTGACTTAAATTTAGATAATGGCTCCTCGGAGAGCACTTTTCTGTCTAAAAGACACCACCCTGTTATGTGCCCTTATTAGGAGTCACGGTGAGAAGCTCTTCCTAGTATTCCATTAAGAAAATCTTCTCTATACCATTAGACATTATAACAGTTAACATGTAGATGATGCTAGCCCATGAGTAAATTTACTCTTTGGCTCATAGATAAATTTTGGACAAAAATAAAACACTTAGGCAAGAGTCATTTTAGGCAGAGATCCTTCTAAAGGGCTTAGATGTATAGAGTCTAATTTGACAAAAAGTACCCCAAACTGTGAGTTGATACTATTACTGTTATCATTGTTGTCAGACATGTACCAACAACTGAAATTTCATGGAATTATGATATAATTACCCTTTAAAATATAACAGCTATTTTGAGATATAATTCACATACCATCCAGTTTACCAACTCACTGGTTTTTGGTATAGTTAGAGAGTTCTGTAACCGTTTTGGTATAGTTAGAGAGTTCTGTAACCGTTAGCACAACCACTTTTAAGTAATTTCTGTCATCCCCAAAAGAAACCCTGAACTCGTTAACACTAACTTCCTGTTTCTCCCCAAATCCCCCAAGTCTTGGCAACCAGTCCTCTGTGGATTAGGTTCTTTTGGGTATTTCACATCAAGGGAGTCACAGCCTCCATGAAGAGTGGCTTCAGTAACTCAGTTTATGTTTTTGGGGTTCAACCACTTTATAACAGCAACCAGGACTTCATTCTTTTTTATAGTTAAACAGTATTTCGTTGCGTGGCTGTACCGCATTTTGTTTAGCTGTTCATTAGGTAGACACATGGCTTGTTTCCATTTTTCAGCTATTTTGAATAATGCAGTTATACGTAGTCATGTGCAAGCTTTGGTGTGGAAATCCATTTTTACTTCTCTTAGACGTACACCCAGGAGGAGAAACGCTGACTCACCTAATAATTTATGTTGGTACATGTCTGACAACAAAAATACTTTCCAAATACCATCGCACCACTTCATATGCCTACCAGGGAGGGTTCCCATTCCTTCTCTTCTTTGCCAGTATCTGTTACGATCTTTTCTGTTACAGCCGTGCTGAGGAGTGGGGAATGGTGTCTTACTGTGCTTTTGATTTGCATCTCCTTGCTAACTGATGACATGGAGCAACTTTGCATATGCTGTTAGCTATTTGTATATCTTCTTGGGAGAAACATGTACTGTAATCTTTTGGGCTTATTTTAAGTTAGGTCTTTATTAATTATTAAGGTGTAAGAGCTCTTCGTTACTCTTTATTCTAGTCCCTTACCGGATACATAACTTACGAGCATTTTCTCCCATGCTGTGGTCTTTCACTCTTGGTGCCTGTAGCCGCATATCCTTCAGGACATTGTGTGCTTTCAGCTCTTCCACCCTGGTTTAGTTTCGGCTCCCCGCTCCATAGCTTCCACTACCTACGGTGGCCTTTGTCACAGTGTGCTGATGGTATAAGTTGAGGATTTGTCTGCCCTGTCAAGCAGTTGTGTCTTACAAAATTTTGTACATCCAGTGCCAGGAGCTCTGCCTAACACAAAGTGGGAATTCAATAATTGTTAGACTAAACTGAACCTTGAGTCTGGAAAAAAAATCCCGATCAGTACTGACCTAAGAAAGTTGACAAGAAGGCCCTTAATAGACTGTCTAGCTTTAGCCACTTGTGTCTTGGCTACGGGATTCGTAGCTGGAGCCCAGCTCATCACAGGCTGCTTTGATCTGTTCTGAATAGTAGACTGCAATTTATATAACCAAGCATTTATTTTATTCATTTCTTTATTTAAAATTCTTTAGTGCCGCACGTTAAATCTGGCGAAGTCACGTGACTAGAGCTTTGCTGTGCAGACAAGGAGGTGAGGGTGTGCTGTGCTGCCTTCTGGCGATCCCGTACTCTGGTGTGGTCTACGGGATTCCAAAGCTTTCTCTTCCTAACAAGGTGTTTTCTATGGTAGTAGTTTGCCATTGTTTTTTTTTAAATATCTTGGTAACAATCGTTTCCCTGTTTGTTCTAAATTGAAGAGGTAATTGGATGATTTTCCTTCATTTTTGGAGCACATTGTATTTTCTCACAAAGAAACTGTGCGGTCTGTCCCTCCACAAGTCACTATTGTTGAAAATGTTGCAAGTGTCCTATTTTGATCAGAAAAGTAGGATAACATGAAGTAACAGTTGCTCCCTGTCCAATGAAGATGTAATTGTTTAAACCCCGATAGAAGCAAGCAAAAGAAGATACAAAATTGAGACTTCAGACGAAAGTCCAGATAGTTTCTGTGTACCTTTGATGAGATTTGACACACGTGAACTCTCAGCCACACACACACACACACACACACACACACACACAATATGGTGGGAGAAACTAGTTGATAGCCAAAGATGATTTATTTTCGCTTAGCTTAGCAAACTGTGTTACAAATTACTTCATCTCAAAGGACTTACTGGAATTCCTGAATGAGAAATTCCCCCACCCTGAATTTTTCTTTTCTTTGTGAAACAAAATTAGCTCTGTGTTTTCGGGAGAAAGACTTTGGCAGACGTGCTGATTGTAATACCCTAGTGGAAAACGCTTCGACTAAAAACCAGATGCTGTTCGTGGTAGTGAAAAGGCTGTGATAACGTGCACACTCCAGTGTGCGCCGCACTTCTGTGAGGCTAATAAGAGGATATCTCTGAGTCAGCTATAGAGGTACACACCCGTCATCCACATCCAGGGACTCAGGAGGCTGAGGCAGGAGAATCAAAGGTTTGATTCCATCCTGGGCAACCTAGTGAGACCCTGTCTAAAAATCAGATCAGAGGAAGAAGGAGAGGAGGGAGGAGAAAGACTCGTGAAATTCTTCTCCTTCCTCCAGCGCGTGCCCTGCCCAAACCAGCTTTGTATAACCTCACTGGGATCACAGCTCTCGTGTTGTCCTTGCCATGTGTCGATCAGACATAGCGCCGCTACTCAGACTTGTCAGCTAGAAGGACAGGAAGTGAAGTGTTTGCTTAGTCAGACTAACAGGTGAGAGTTGGAGGTGAGGTCACATCACTACTTACTTGCTGAAGTCCTCACATAAAGTACTGAATCTCGTTAGATTTCAGTTTACTCCCTGTAAAATGAAGGGTAGTACTAGTACCTCCTAGTAGTAAACACAGGACTATAATTAGTTGTTATTAAATTCAGAAAATGTTCTGGCCGTCTCCTCCACTCAGTACTTGACTCCCTGCTTAATTAAACAGGGTCAAGTTCATAAATATAAATCATCAGCCCAGTCCTTTCCTGTGGAAGAGGAATAATAGGAAGAAACTGAAGAAATGTTATTTTAACACTGATTTCCAGTAACTCCCCTGGATTAGAGTCAGTCCCCTCATTTATGGAATATCTGTCGACACAGGGAAAGACGAAATAAAGAAGTGTCCCAGTGTGAATATTCTTGTCTTTGGAGGTTAGCCTTGGGTCTTAGAACAAAAACAAATCAGTAGTTACTCAGTACTGTATCTCATTTTCCAAAACACAGGTTTCTTTGTAACAGTCATTCATAGATATTTTCATATGCTACATTTTTTGCTCTTAGGCTTTAACTAAATTGCGAAACAACTAACCTTCATGTTCCTGATGTGTTAGAATTGTCAAAGGATTCCTTCAGGATTATACGTCTCCATAAGGGTATTAGTTGGAGCGGTATATAAAAAGTTCAGACCCAATGAACAGGCCTTGATGCTATGAACAGAATAATAAAGTAGAATCTGAGGTTGTCCTGTTATGAATGGGTTATCCGGATATAGAAAGAAGTTATATTTAGCCGTGGCATTCCTATAAACCCCGGAGCTGTGCGTTACACAAATGAGAAATTTATGTGCTAAATAAAAATCACCAGATGTCAGTCTCTGTGTGTGCCAACTGGCGAATGCAGAGTGGCTGAGGAATCCGGGGGAAGTGATGCCCATGTCTTTGCTATTCAAATGCAAAGGGATGGTGGGAGTAAAACGCTTTTGAAAAGATGACAGCATACTCAGCTACCAAAGATAGCCCGTGTTATGAATTGTTATCTGAAAGGCCTTAATTTATGTTTTCATTCATGATGTGTTTGTGGCATTATGAACGTGACCCGTGTTTACTCTGACTTACTGTATTTGACTTTCCTAAGACTCGTTGCATTCTTTTAAAGGGTCGGCAGATACCTTGTGTAAAGAACCTGCCTGGCCAGGGCATTCTAATAAAGGTCGGGTACGCGCTGCAGTGTACAGCACCCCAGGGTTCCGGTCTCATGCTTGCCCAGATCAGTCATTTTCATGAAATCACCAGGTGAATTCTCTTCTTTCCTCAGAAATTCGAGCTCAGCTGGTAGAACAACAAAAATGCCTGGAGCAGCAAACGGAGATGCGAGTTCAGCTTCTCCAGGACCTTCAAGATTTCTTCCGGAAAAAAGCCGAAATTGAGACAGAATATTCTCGGAACCTAGAGAAGTTGGCAGAAAGGTTCATGGCCAAAACAAGAAGCACGAAGGATCATCAGCAGTACAAGTAAGAGAGACTCGCTCGCACGTGCCTCCCCTCAGTGACAGCTCTCGCCTTTCTACCAGACCGAGCCGGTGTAGCTGCTCCACTTCTGTGTGAGGAGCCGGGGGTGGGTACACTCCCGTAAGCAAAAGCACCTGGAAATTTCTCTGCCTTTTACATTGTAGGGACATCCACTTATCATATTTAAACTAATGGTATTCCCTTGAAGTTGTTTCTGGTACAATATGAGTATTATTTATAGATAAGTTTTATGTATAAGAAGATATGTTTGTAAAACTCCAGGTTATGGAAAACAGGGAGCTGATGGCCACAGGAAGATACTTGAAAAGAAAGGTTGTAAAAAGCTGCTTCTTTAAGCAGAGACCTCCGGTTTTCTGTAAGATGAAAATAAGCGATATGGGTTGCTTGATTCTAACGCATCCCGCCCGGCTCCACTCAACATGTTGCTTGTTGCTGCATTCAAGACTGATTTCTTGGGGCCAGGGATATAGCTCACTGGCACAAGCACCTGCCTGGTAAGCACAAGGTCCAGAGTTTGAGTCCTGGTACCAAAAAAAAGACTAGTTTCTTTTTTTTGTCTTTTTGAGACAGGGTCTCGCTATGCAGTTCAGGCTGGCCTTGAGCTCACTTTGTAGCCCAGGCTGGTCTCGAACTCACAGTGATCCTCCTGCCTCATCAAGACTGGTTTCAAACAAGGGCCTTTAGAAAAATGTGTGAACATAATTAAACTTTAACATTAATTTCATTTCATTTTATTTCATTAAAAATATAGGTTATTCCATTAACAAAATATACTTTATAATTTAACTTGTGGAGACAGAGGAGCAAGCAGACAGTTCTCTAGCATGTGCGACTATGCCACAGTAGGCTTAGCACGGGACACGGCAGACGTGGCTGAAATGCATTCCACAGTGGAGGTGGGGAAGGGAAAGTGCCAGAAGGATGAGCTCTTACCGGAGACCAGGACTAAGTGAGGAGTCAGCCGGCTACGCTGGCGAGGCGATCTTCCCGGGTCAGGGGTCACAGGGCAGATGTGCAGAACAGAAATTGCTCCAGCGGCTGTGAGTGGTGAGTGCTTAGCTGTACGACTGCTGGGCTGAATTGGGGCTGATCACAGAATTCTTCCTCCTCCTTCCGGGCACCTTTGATTCTTACTCTGAGGGCCTGAGAAGCCGTTGGAGAGTTTAAAGCAGAAGGGTGACCCCTCACAACTGCATTTTAAAGTGATGAAAGAGGCCAGAGGTAGGGCAGAGGACCGGCGGAAGGACAGGAAAGCGTCAAGAGGACTGTCTCAGTGGGGGTGGACCTGCTGTCCTGGATGCAGAGAGCGGCAGGCCTCTGCAGGAGACGGGAAAGAGGCACGCCGACTTTCACTTCTAGTAGTGCAGTGCACCAGATACTCTAGAAAGCACTTCGGCCACAGAACTCTGGGAAGTGTGGGTTAAAATGTAGTAGACATGCTTTTAAATGTACAGCTAGGCTCCAGGAGAGCGCAGGGAATTTCCAGGTGCGAAAGGGGAAGAGGGAAGTGAAAATCTAGGTGCCCCCACACTTTAATCCCACGTGGGGACAGCGGCTGAGGTCTGTGTGAGGTGAAATTTTGGCACGAGAACCCTGGCTTGAGCCTTTCTGCAACACATCCCAGGACCGGCCGGGCTGCTAACCCAGCAAAACGGTGAAACGTAACCCTCCCCACCTGCATGGGGTGTGACAAGGAGGACCGTCTGCTCAGCCGGGAGGGGGCAGCTGAGAACGCGCCTTTCTCTCCACCACTGGTTTTGCCGTTCCATTTTGTACTCCTCCGTCACCTGGACCCTACATAAACAAGTAGGAGGAGTTCTTTGCAGAAAGAAGTGCAAAGCTATTCTAGATAATTTCCTTCCTCTCCTCTCCTCTCCTCTCCTCTTCTGTCCCCTCCACTCACCTCTCCTGGCCTGCCCTCCTCTGCCCTCTCCTCTCCTCTCCTCTCCTCTCCTCTCCTCCCCTCCCCTCCCCTTCCCTCCCCTCTCTTCTCTCTCCTCTCCTCTCCTCTCTTCTCCTCTCTTCTCCTTCTCCTTTTCTTCCCTTTTCTTCCCTTTCTGCTGTGGATGACTTTAACCTCTGCTTTTGTCCAGCATACAAATCTTAGCGATGATTCCCAGGGTAACCAGGGGTCTAATGTGCCTGAAGAGGCCGAGGCTGGAGGCAGGACTGGAGCGAGTGCTGTGTTCACACTGGTGGTGGCCGCCCTTAAAGAACATTGCAGAGAAGAAGACAGCCGTTCATCTGTTAGACAGTACGATTGAGAGCTTTTGTCTGAGGATGTAATTAGAAGTTTTGAACTGAAAATACGGGTGGGTCCTTGCTCTGTAGTCTGGTCCCTTAGTGAATGAGAAGCCACTTTCCGTGTCCCCAGTTTTATTTGGTAGTTTTCTTCAGAAGACGAGCAGCTTAACATTTTCTTCGATACGAGTAAGTTTATTATTAAATATAAGACTGAAGATGAAGTGAGTTAAGTCTGTGCAAAGTGTAAGCCAAACATTCAGGAAAAACGTTTTTTAAAAACAGGTTTTATTAAAGTGTCAGCCATTTGACAGTGGCTGTGCTGTATCTCTGGTAGAGTTGCATACCCTCGCTGAGGCTTGGTTTCCCGACAAGTGAAAGGGGGTTGTATGACCGTTAGGTGAGGAACGTCGCAAAGTCCCTGATGTGCTTGGTAGCTGGTGTCGGGCGCCCCCCCTGCCCGGAAGAGCTCCGCGCTCGCGTGGCAGCGCCACCAGGCACGCGGGCCGGGCTCCGGGGTCTGTCCTGGTGCAGTCCCTGCTTATTGTGCCGCACAGCCTTTGGCCTAAAGTTGCCGCTGTGTAGAGGAAAGCCCCAGGCTTGAATTAGCCTCCCCGGGCACAAAGACTCACTTTGACACGAGCGTTGGTCTTTATCAAATCCCCGCGCCTTGCTACGCTTTGATTCTCTCGTTCATGGGAAGGACACAAAGCATCTCTGCCTTACTGGTACAGTGGTAAGGATTAGGCAGAATTAATGTCAACTTCTTAAGAAAAACCCTGAATAAAAATAGCTAACTTCATATAGCACAGACTATATGCCTGAGGCATTATTCTAAGCATTTAAAAATGCCTATTAACTCCAGTTCTCATAATCGTCTTAGGAGATGAGTCCGATTATTTTTTTCCATTCTGCAAAGTAACACAGAGGCACAGAGAGGTTAACATCATGTGTCCAAGATTGCATAGCTGGTAAGTGATAGCTGGGGTGAGAACTGGAATAACTCCAGAGCTCATGATCTTGGCCTGTATTCTACTTCTCTCTTTGTGTACGGTAGTGACTGTTACCATTTTCTTTGAAGTTATTATGAGCACTATTACTAGCAGGAATATGGCAGTAATACATTTATTCAGTGAATGAAATAATATGTATTCTTACAATGGGACAGGGCACTGGAGATACACAGGAGAATAAAATATTCTCAAAGAATTTATGAGCTGGTTCAATATGAAAGTAAGCATAAAAATTTTTTTAAATCAGGCAACCTTTACCCGGAGGCTGGACAGATAAAGAACAGCCAGAGAAAGGCACTAGTTATCTGCAGCAGAGCTGTCCTTCCTTTGCTGGGGCTCCGGAGGAACAAGGGCGCTCCTGGAGTGGAGGGCATGGTTCTCCCTGTGTCAGGAGGAGTGAGGGGCTGCCCTGGGCATACAGTGCCAGCACCCTTGGTAGGTATTTTTTCCCCAAGCCCATTTCTGCTTCCATCTTCTTTCCTCCTTTCTTCCAGGGAGGATTTAACTGGATGCCATTTTAAAGTCTCTCCAGGGCCGAGCTTGGTGGCGCACGCCTGTAATCCCAGCACTCGGGAGGCTGAGGCAGGAGGATCCTTGCAAGTTCAAGATCAGCCTGGGCCACAAAGTGAGCTCAAGGCCAGCCTGAACTGCAGAGCGAGACCCTGTCTCAAAAAATAAATAAATAAATAAAGTCTCTCCAGAATCTGAGAGACTTAATGGCAGAAAAGCGTGACTTAATCATTTTTTTTTCAACTAACTAAATTACTATTTAGGATCATGTAAGGTTGTGAATAATAAAATAACACATGTAGTTAAATGGCATTTGTGTCCCTGAGTTAGGATAAACGTTCTGTACCATTTTGCAGTGTTACAATTTGCTTTTATTTATTTATTTATTTATTTATTTATTTTTGGTACCGGGAATCAAACTCAGGACCTTGCACTTGCCAGGCAGGCGCTTGTGCCACTGACCTAAATCCCCGGCCCTACAGTTTGCTTTTAAAATATATAAAAAATTGTACTCTGACTTTTTTGTTTTAAGCGGTAGCATCCCAATTGCTCACCGTTTTCATTTGGAGTTTTTCTTTGAGATTTTTAAGCCATCTTTTTGTGTGTGGTTCATAGTCACTTTTAACTTTAGTCTCTACACTAAAAATAAGAACCAGTTACAAATCAGGAGTAGCGTAGTGGGTTCCAGTACATTAAGTGACCAGCCACAAGCCAGCGAACTTCTTGGTTCTATTCATGAGCCTTGAGTCGGTAGTATAAAGTTCTGGTTCCCAGAAACACTTTTCGGGAGGCTGGAGATTATGTATCAGGGGATTAATAAATAACCACCAAGTTTATTTTCCATGGAAAGCAAAACTAGGGCAATTTCTTCTCCAGCAGCAAACTGAACTTTCAAAGCGGACATTGTGTGCAGTGACAAACCAAAGCCTGTCTGAGATGGGAATCAGTAGATTTCTGTGTAAACATGTGCTGCTGTCTTCAGCGGGGAGCTCACAGCTGAAGGGCTGCCCCGCTGCTGAGTATGTGAGCGTCCTGGGCCCCTGCCAGGAGTGCGGGTTAACACTGCGTTCTGGCCCGTGTTTCTTTGCACTGGCAAGTCGCTCTCCCTGTGCGTGTGTAGCCTGGAAGGCTGTGGCACTGGCTATCGAGTGTCCTGGTCTAGGGAACCCTCAGAGCGGAACGAACAGTGACGGGACCCATCTGTGGAGGCCCTCAGCCTGCCTGGGTGACTGCGCCCAGCTGTTCGGGGCAGCTTTGAGCTGGATGTAATTCTGCCCTTCTGCACTTCGCAGGAAAGACCAGAACCTGCTGTCGCCAGTGAACTGCTGGTATTTACTCCTGAACCAAGTGAGGCGAGAGAGCAGAGACCACGCCACCCTGAGCGACATCTACCTGAACAACGTGATCATGCGGTTCATGCAGATCAGCGAGGACTCCGCCAGGATGTTTAAGAAGGTACACCCGCCCAACCTGGCGGCGCGGGCTGTCGGATGCCCGCTTCCCTGAAAGGAGTGAATCTTTTAAAGACACAGAACAAATGTTAAGCCCAAACAGGCATACTTACCTTGTATGCCAGTGTGGGTACACAGGTGTATATACAAGGTAAAGATAGGATGATGGGTCATTGCATGCTCACAGGACTTCCATTTAGTTCATTACTGAATCTCTGACCTGAACAGTGTGTGTGCATTTTTGAAAAAGATGTGCCGGCACGTTGTGCCTCGGTCTCTAGGAGCTGACTAACTTCACCGGTGAAAATCAGACGGAAAAAGGAAAGCCTCAGATTCTGTCTTTTGGGCTCACACAGGACCAGACTTGTGAAAGACAAGATTAGCGCATGTGCTGTTGCTCTCTCAGGAAAACGTTATCGTAGTTTCTTCTTTTTTTTTTTTTTTTTTTTTTTTTTTTGTCCGGTACCGGGAACCGAACTCATGACCTTGCGCTTGCCAGGCAGGCGCTTTGCCGCTGAGCTAAATCCCCAGCCCTCGTAGTTTCTTCTTAATCCCCGCAGACCAGCAGCAGAGCTGGGAGAGAATGATGTGAAGGAAAAAAAAAACCACAGGACACAGAAAATTCAGTTCCTTACACACCAGAGAGCTCCCTCCTTCCCAAACCCATTTAAAAAGAACTGGAGAAGGGCTGGGGATTTAGCTCAGCGGCACAGCGCCTGCCTGGCAAGCGCAGGGTCGTGAGTTCGATACCCGGTACCAGAAGAAAAACAAAAAACAAAAAAGAACTGGAGGTAGGGGTCACAGCAAAACAAATCAGTGCAAAACAAACAAACAGAAAGAACAGGGCTTTTAATGCTTTTTATCATCATTAGGAGCTGCGGCCAACTCTTAGTAAATTTTCATTGTTTGGACATTTTTGTTGAGAATAAAAACAAAATTGGACTATTTCCTGTGCAGAGAATGCAGCTACTTGCCTGGTGAGACGAGCTTTCAGTTTTTATGTCTGTAGGACAGGAGTCTCTCGTGAGCCTTGCAGCTTTGTACTGATTGTATTTAACATCTGCATTTACCTGTGCCCCGTCCAGTAAGTAATGATTTGTTTCGGAAAGGGGTGGGGCCCCACCCTGTAGATTAATGATACATTTATATTGCCAAGGGCCTCGTTAAAACAAAGGCGCAGTGTTGAGCAGGCCAGCTGGAACGCTTGGTTGTGTTTGATGTTTCCACATTAGGTTTGATTCCCGACCTAGAAGTGGAATTTAACAAGCTCTCAGTGATCTTGTACTCAGTTCAACTAGAACAAAAAAAGTGTTCTGAACAAAGGATAATTTTAAAACTGGAGCCAAGGAAGATATTAATTAAGAAGAGGATGGGTAGAGAAATGACCATGTATCTTAGACTGTGGAGCTCGTTGTAAAGATAGTTTAAAGAGAGCTGTGAAGGTGCGTGCCCCTTCACAGCCTGCACAGCGACCTTGTTTGCTCCAGCCTTTGTTTCCAGGGTCTCCCCCGAGCAGGAGATGGTGACGATCAGTCTCTCAAGGCCACAGAGATGGAGAAAAACCAGGGCTCGTGTAAGGGAGGTCGCAGGCGATCCAAATTCGGCGCTGAAAGATGCTTCCGGGTCCTGCGGGTGCTGGCCGTGATTCAGCCTGGGCCTCTCGGACCAGCGCCTCGGTAGAGATCATGTATTCGTGCATTTAACAGAACATCTTTAACTGTCCGGCTGGTAAAGCAGAGTTAGAAGACATGTCCCTGCTTGCAAGAAGCTCATTACAATAATTAAGAATTGCTGCGCTAAAGAGATGCACAAGCCGCTGCGGGAGCCTGGGGCCTGGGGAGCGTCACTTCACCGAGGGGTCGGGAAATGCTTCACACAAGAGGGAACACTTGACGTGCGGCGGTGAGGAGCAGACATTCATCAGGCAGACAAGGACGAGGAGCTCGCCGCGGAAGCCGGAGCTCGTGTTCAGGGAGAGCAAAGCATTTGATGTGACTGGACTGGGGTTTGCGTGGGAGTGGGGGGATATGAGCAGAAAACTGGGTCAAGTAAGAAGGGACTTGGTGTGTCCTGAGGAGATGTAAGGATTTGTGTAAGCCCGTGGCTCAATGAAGCTGATAGACATCTAGGACTCAGTCAGATGGGTTTGGATTTGAATTCCAGCTTTTCTGCTTGCTTGCTTTGTGATCGTGGGAGATAAGAGATTCACACGAACGCTCTGTACTCTTGAAGGGGTTGAGCAAGCCAAGACTGGACAGAGGAGAAGCTAACCATGCGGGAACTCTGGGGCTGGGATGCCTCTGGAACGGTCTCATATCCTGGCAAGGAGATGCGCCCCGCGTGGGATGAGGCAGCTCCCTTCGGTGAGGGTAGTTCCCGAGGGTAATTCCCGGAGTGGGATCAGCTCTGAGTTCTAGCGGCCAACAGCAAATATTCCCAGTAGTTGGGGGAGTGTGTTCCTGGCTCTCACTTCGGGATCTGGGAAATGCACGGTAAACACACAGACGGACAGACGTGTCTGCTTGTTTATCACCTCACATTCGCTACTCAGGGTCTCTGAGGTTCAGAGCATTTACGGTGGATTCCTGCCTCCTTTGGCCTTCAGTGGAAGGAATGTTCTGTGCTTCCTGCGCAGCCTGCTCTCCGCGGGTGCTGACCAGTTGAAAGCTAGCAGTGTCTCCCAAGCACAGGTTCCAAATTCTCCCTCCCCCGAGGGAACGCAGCAAACCACCTACCTCGCCTTTCCACCTGTTCCTGTGGGAAAAAGAAACAGTAGCGAGGTGGGACTGCAAGTAGAGGACCAGAGCTTGCTGAGGAGCCAGATCAACCGGGAACACGTCGGTCATCCGAGTGAAAAGGAAGACAGTCTGTATCTTTCCAGTCCAGAGTTCAGGTCCCTTTGCATTAGAAAGCAGCTCTTAACCCCTCCCTCCCTCCTCTCCTCCCCCTTTCTTTCTCTCTCTCTCTTTCCTTTTTCTTTCTTTCCTTCTTTTTCTTTCTTTCTTTCTCTCTCTTTCCTTTCTTTCTCTCTCTCTTTTTGTCTCTCTTTCTTTCTTGGCAGTGCCTCTTGAGAGGTACGTTCTCAGACCCTCTCCCTTAAATCACCAACTTTCCACTTCTCCAACTCTTCTTCCGTTGTCTGAGTTTAGAGCAGAAACCTATTTTCTATCAAGATGGGAGGAAATCCTCAGCGGTGGGCAGACGTGCCCTTTACAGCTGTTTTGGAGTCCTTCCCGGATGTAATGTTCGTCTTTCTTGTTAGAGCGGATTTTAAGACTTCCTCATTCTTCCCCATGTCTATAGGGAGATGGATAGTTTGGTTTAAACAGCTGCATTTTATTTGATTTAGTCAACAATAGACATTTCTTTTGTCAGATGAAGAGTCTGGAGTAGGTAATTTCAGGACACTCTCTGTCTCCAGATAGATAAAATAATTAAGAAGACAGTTGTAGGCATACGTAATTTCATGAATAGTTTTAGAAGCAGTTTTAAGACTATACTGTTAATCACATCAATCACGGTTGCCTCAGTATGTCCGAAAGTTTTTAACAGGTAGGCCTGAAGGGGTGGTTGTACCCTTGTAATCCCAGCACTCAGGAGGCTGAGGTACTAGGATTGCCACCGGCTCAAGACCAGCCTGGACTACATAATGAGACCCTGTCTCAAGAAAACAAAAAGGAAAAGGAAAAGAGTTTTTAACAGGTAGAAAAAGTGAAACTTTAAAAAAAAAAAATTCAGTTGTTCAAGTACTATTTCAGATCTAGGTTTTTAAAGTTCTAAATGGTGCCTGTTATGAGAATAGTAGTGCTTCAGCTTTTAGGATGTGAAGTCAGCTATTTTGGTATACGTTTTGGCTTTGCGTGGTGAGGCACCTGTAATTGACTATAATATGATTAAAAATTGTTTTCTTGAAGCTGTTTCCTAACACTGTGCATGAAATAACTTCCTGATTATTGTAGCCACTTTAGTAGCTATATGGACATGGGAGTAATTGTGAATGCCTGATGCCTCCTCTTCTGCATCTACAGAATATAGTAACTTACTCTGCATAGTTGTATGGGAGATTCATGAATCATATATAGAAAACTACTGAGCCCAGTGTTTGGACTTCACTCCCAAGAAAGCTTTTAGCTAGCATCTGTCTTACAGTCTGTAGTGTAATCATTACTACCTCTACCTACGATAATTACATAACATGGGATTATGCATTAGCCACGCGTGACGTAGATGAGTCCTCATTCGAAGGACAACATATGCACAACTTCATGGTAAATACATTCAGATCGTCCTTTTATAAGCTTCCCAACCATATTTATAAGCTGACTCTGAGAAATGCCATCACATCATTGCTCTACCAGAATTAAAATTTTCATCCTCACATTTCAACAGTTAGTGAAGAACCAAAGCCAGGTGTGGTGGTGCACGCCTGTAATCCCAGCACTCAGGAGGCTGAGGCAGGAGGATCGTTGTGAATTCAAGGCCGGTTTGGGCTACAAAGTGAGCTCAAGGCCAGCCTGAACTGCACAGCGAGACCCTGTCTCCAAAAAAAAAAAAAAAGACAACAAAACAAGAACCAAGAGAAAGCCTGTCCTCAGATCCCCAGCAACACTTCCCGTGGGGAATCTTAGCTCCGAGGCCTTGTTCGCTTCTGTACTTCGTCAGGGAGAAAGGTTGCTTAACTCCAGAACCCTCTGCCCTGTAGACACGGACCGCGCAAACACCGGCAGGTGGGGACGCTGCTTCTACCCTCCCAAGTTGTGCTTTACCACTTAGGAGTTCAGACTGCGGGCACCCCTGGAGCAAAGCATCTGTCTCATTGCCAAGGCTGTCTCTTTCCTCAGAGGACGAAGCCTGGGGATGTGCCGCTTACCCGGTTCTCCAGCCCTCCCCCTGCAGCAAGGAGGCGCTGGCTTCCTTCGTTCCGTTACTCGTGCTGAAAGAAAGTGTTGTGCATCTGGTTCGGTGCTGCAGCCCGCAAACGTGCAGTTCTTAAGCTGCACATAA